TATGTGTGTGTGTGTGTGTGTATATATATATATATATACACAAATATATATATACACATATGTGTGTACATATATATTTGTGTGTGTGTATATATATATATATATTTATACACATGTACATACACACATACATGCATACATACATACACACAACTTCAAAATAACATAAATTCTCAACCTGTACTGAAAACAGTTTCTGCGTCTCAGCGCCACCAGCTGGTGAGAGGTGGTGACGTCAATTTGAACCCCGCCCACTGGAACCGGTACTGAAAGCATAATGGAAACACAACCTGTACCGTACCGAGTAGAGTAGAGCCGTGCTGTACCGGTACTACAGGTACTAATGGAAAAGGGGCAATAGACACACACATATATATAAATATATTATATATATGTTTACACATAGGGCTGGGCCATATTATATTGTTCACAATAATACTGGTAAAAACAAACTTGCCTGGGAAAATAAATAATATGATGCTATGCTAATTTCATGATATAAGTACGTCAGTGTTTCCTCTACTATTATACAAGATGGGCTCCCCGCCTCGTTAAGAGAACCGAGCTCATCAAACTACCAAACCGAACTGCGCACCCCCACCGGTACTGGCGTAATGCTAAGCTAACTGCACACAATACAATATAGCTAAAAAGCTAACGGCATGGCTCATGCTGCCTCTTCCCTCACGCTGACTCGTGTTCGTGCTGCTGTTCGGCGTATTGTTGTGCTACTAGTGCTTAGTGTGTTCTTAGTTTAGCATATTTCTTAGTTCACGTCTTGGATCTTATTATTGTTTTCTTTTACAATTTATACTTTTGTTGGATGTAACTGGGACCTTGAGTACACAGTTTTGTTCCACCACATGTACCACATGTGGTACGTATGACAATAAAGAAGCTTTGACACGCCTGATCACACAGCTGCTCCAGCAGGGAGCTGACGTGAGATATTGTTACCGGCACTCTGGATCACTTTAGGGTTTTCTTTGTCCTCCCTTCTTCGTCAGCTGGATAAAGATGACATGGTTTACATGGAGGCCTACGACAAGCTGCTGGAGTCGTGGCTTACACTCGTGCAGGACGAAGAGCACTTTCCCCGCGGCTGCTTCGTGCAGCCAGCGATCCAGGTGTTCAACTCGTACATCCAGTGTCACCTGGCTGCTCCTGATGGTACTCGCAATCTGGTGAGACTTTCTCTTTACAAGCCGTTTCTCATTATTATGGACTGGTCCTCATTTCTGTTCCATCTCGTTTTTGGATTTTATAAAATCGTGAACCACTCTCACTAATTCATCAGTCGGTGAACGGCATTTCCTCTCACGATGAAGAGGAGATCAACGAGCTGCAGGAGGATGACCGAGAACTGTTCTCAGACCAGCTGTCAAGTATTGGCATGCTGGGACGTGTGGCTGCAGATCACTGTATCCCACTACTCACAAGGTAAACTCTCTTAAATGATTTAAAACAGACGGGCCTTTTGGTTATTGAGGCCATCACAATGTAAGGCTGCACTTTTACTGCTACAACAAGAACTACAGTCACAAACTACCGTTAAACACATTCATCGTATGATCCTTTTTAGGTGTACTGGTGTGTGACTTCAGAATAAGTTTTTGTTTACTAGATGTTTTTCTGTTGGCCTCACTGTGCAGCCTGCTGGAGGACCGGGTCAACAGACTGCACGGCCAACTCCAGAGAACCCAGCAGCACCTCATGGCCTCATCTGATCTGAGATCAGCAGACCACAAAGTCCTAGATGACCTGTATGAAGACATCCACTGGCTTATACTGGTCTCAGGTCAGCAGCTGCGCTGAAGATTTTTATTTTTTTCTTATTTAAAGTTCAAGTATCTTTATTGTCCTTCACATCACATGTGGTATGTGAGGTGGAATGAAATTATGCACACAGGGTCCCAGTTGCACCCGACAATAGCAGAAAACAGTATAAAAAGAAACGTGTACATGGATCTAAGATATACACTAAACACTAATAATGTAAAATAATATGGTGTGTTAAACAGCAGCCTGAACATGAGTCTGTAGTGAGCACATGGGTGTGAATGAGATCAGCAGCATGAGATCAGCAGCACAGATAAGTCGCATATCACCATTGAACGTGGCATTGCAGTGATTTTCTCGTTGTACCACAAAGGGCTTCTGTAAAAAGTGCACGTAGTTCAACTGCAGTGTTTTTCAAACGTTTTTCTGTTGAATCCTCAGGAACTTTTAGATCAAACAAAAATATGTTCATTCCCAACTTTTACCAGTTTTCCTGAAGAAAAAACCTCTAAAACCAGTTTTGAGATTAATTTCTCTTCAGTTTCAGGTTAGCGGTCGATTCAAGCTTCACGTTAAAGGGCTTACCAAGGACTCGTGTTAGAGGCCGCTACAGTAGAAATGTTTTTATTGTGCTCTCAAATGACTTTTCATTAAACTTTACTGACTTCATATGTAACAGCCAGTGGTGTGAGTGGGAGAAATATTAACTGCGTCGTTAAAGCTCTTCACCAGAGGCTTTCTCACCATTAACGAACCTCTATAGACGGGTGGTGCCCTTTCTCAAATCAAACACCTCTAAAAGGGTTTTTAAAGGTTCATATAAAGTCAGCTGGAACTGTTTGGATGCTATTTAAAAATATATATTTCAATCCTATTTAAATAAAGTGGGAAAATTATTGAGCTGCTATTTAAAAATATTTAGTGGCTCCTGATCTATATTTTTAAGTAGTAAAACCATAAAAATACTTTTTTCAATATTTGATTTTTGTTACAGTTCTATAAAATGTTAAAATAACAATAAGTTTTCATTTTTAGAGCTTGATGACTCGTTTGGTGTCTAAAATGGATGTTTCTGACTTGATCCCTAGAATCTAATGAGGTGTCTCTTGTAAACGAGTCGTTGCGGCTCACTGAGACTAACCTGTGTAAATAAAGGTTGAATGAAGGCAGTGAGAGTGGGCCACGTAAACATGGACAAGTTAAAAAGTGTGAAGATGATGATTATAAATAAACATACTACTACTGTACTACTGCGATTATTATCTTGCTTGACTAAAAACTGTAGTAGAAACAGATGAAGTCGATCTGCTTCAAAAAGCCACATGGCGTGTCTGCTCCCTCTGCAGGGTATCTGCTAGCAGACGATGCTCAGGGTGAAACCCCCCTGATCCCCACCGAGGTCATGGAGTTCTCCATTAAACACTCGACAGAAGTTGACATCAACGTCACACTACAGATCCTGGGCTCGCCGGGGGAAAAGGCCTCGTCCATACCAGGCTGCAACCGCACTGACTCCGTCATCAGGTACTGACTCTGTTGGATCACAGACTGATTTCAAAGCCTGCGTGGCCTTTTGTTTAAAGTGAGTTGTGAATTCATTTTGACAGGAAAGGATTATTTGATATGACTAAAACAATATGTTCGTCTGTCGCTAGTGTCTTCTGTGACAGATGAAGCAGCTTAGAGACTGGAGAACTGTTGAACTGTTTGGTAACGTTTTACACGTGAATTTGTTTCATGCATTATTTCATTTAGACCAGAGGATTTGCTTAAAGAAGAAACAAAATATGTGACAGTTTCAAGGACAAATAAAATGGATACTTCTGAACTGAAGAATAAGCCACAGAAGAAACTTTAAATATGAACTATGTGTCTTATATGTGTCTGTATGAAACAAGACGGGGCAGCCTGGGAGGCTGCATGTGAGAAATGTTTGTAATAGATCTTTTGGTGCTCAGCTTCTCTTTGTAAGATAAAAAATATGACGTTTTTCTAAATCTTTGTGTAAATATGGCAGTTTTGAACAACTAGATAGCTATGTTCATGGCAGCTTTGTGTGTACCGTAATTGACGGGCTTTCGAACGCACCTGTCTCTGAGCCGCTCTTATTAAATATAAGGTGAATCATTTATAATTATTCATAAATAAGACGCTCCAGTTATTTAGCCGCAGCCGTCCACCGTTCATCGTCAGGATCTGTGCCCCCAGTCTGCTCCGACGTAACGTGCATCTTTCTTGTAGTGCAAGAATCAGTGAGCAGATGGAGGTTCACAGAATATATCTTGATTTCCACACACTCAGACTGCAAGATCATCATGAAGCTGCGCTGTCTGAGTCATGGTTACACCTTCAAAATGAACACAACAACCATCTAAGCATAATGGGATGGGATGAACGTAGCTGGGATTAACCTGTCTCAATAAAGGTTGAAAAAAGCATCACTGGACAGAACAGTTCCAAACTCCTGCGTAACTGAAATCATTTCAAAATGATTTACCGTAAAACCCAGTCTTATCTAGGTCATGTGACCGGAAGTCAAATCGTACCAGTAGAATGTGGTAAAGACTCATTAAATTAGTACCATTGATTGTTATTGGTAAATACTGTCTGTTTCACCCTATAAATCACAGTTTGTTGCATAATTTACATGCCCTGCCCCCCCACTCGAAAACTGTCGGTATAAAACTGTTGGTTTAAACAGCGCGTGGCTGTCTCTGTGTCCCCC